ACCTCCCTTTGTGAATTCAGCAACAACAAGATATAGTTACCTGAGCTCAGGTTAGTTTGGCTACAATCGCTTTGCGCCATGTTAACTGAGCAAAGTGTCTTTTAATTAAGTGCCTTGCCGGCCATAATCCCATAATGTAGATACAAACTTCACACTTTGACTTGACCCATATAAATCTATAATACAAGGGCTCAATTAGCGACAAGTTCATGTTCAGAAATGCCCAGATAATATTGTTAATTTTTTGGTATTTACTTGTTAATTTGCCTACCAAAATTTCGGCGAGTCGAGGCTAATAGGGGATAATATTCGTATTCAAAACTAAAAAATAAAATTGGAGGAATCTATATAGTAAATATGATAATTGTAACTAAAAACTAAAATCACTTAAAACAAAATGTTATCGATAATCTGACGCAAATATTCAGATGTTAAGACTATAGTTCCTAGAAGAACTCTCTAGAAGAACAATAAACAGAACCTAAAATTTTGCATCTAAGCATCTCTTGCTAAGCTATTGCGACATATCCAATATCAGATAATATTCTTGAATGCGAGCTCAATTTCCCAACATTTTTTTCATTTCCTTCGCCGACTATTTAATGTAATAATAATATCTATGTTATACACCATAGAGTAAGCAAATATTTATCGCCTACCAAGAGTGTCGCAAATAAATATGCACACTCCGGCGTTTCGTTGATGTGTTTGTTTTTTTTTGACACTTGTTAAAAGCCGTTGGCATACGGCATGTGTTTGGAGTGTGAAATACAGTGAGTACAATGTGTATCTGTCTGCCTGCCTCTCCGTCTATTTGTCAGCCCTGCCTCGGAATGCAATTTTACAATTGACTCGGCGCAGCTCAGCTCAACTCGGCTCATTGCCGGCTCGCAAATAATGCGCGGACTGTTCCGCAATTGTTATGCGGCGATGTTTAGCGTCAGTTTTGCTTTGACCTCAGTGTTTGGCAGTGTTTGCCAGAGACAAACAAAGCCGGCAAGTGGGTAAATTTTGGCCAAGTGCCACCTCACATAGCCAGCATTGAATGCCGGCTACCAGTTGTCTCGGCCACCTCAAGTCGGTCCCCCCGATCAATGCTTACGCTTTGATCATAGATAAACGCACAGATTTATATGCCACATGTCGATCACCAGATACTCTTGTCTCCTGTCTGCCAGCCAGCTACTATATCATGCCAGCGCTTATACTAAATCAAGCTCGCTATACCAGAAGAAGCAGCAACAACATTGACAAACACAAAAACTACTTAGCTTGGTTGAGCCCAGCTTAATCAAGTCAGCTGTTGACACTTGTCTCCAAGACCCAACAAGTTTCCGTCTTTATTTACGATATTCGCTCCACGAATAAGATAGAACATGGCATATCAAAAAATGCACATTTATTTGACTCAGAAATAAACAAAATTTATTAAATTGCAGATTTAATCGAGCATGTTTTGTGGTTTTTTTTTAGAGCTAGAAAGAAATAGATATAGATCAGGATAGAGAGAGAGCAACTACTGGATCTGGTTCAACTGAGTTATTTGTTCATTGCCAATGGTTGAAGGTATGGTCGACCCCATATAGTATACAGTTTATTGATCAAAACTAAGATAGCTTGGCACATGCTCATCTATCTATCTGTCGTCTATCTATCTATTGTCTGTCTATATATCTGTTTACCTATCTATCACTCTATTGTATACCAATATATCTACCTATCTATATGTCTTTCTATGCATTACCGTCTATCTATGTATCTGTATATCTATACAAAAACAATATACATCGATAGATATCCCTATAACTATTTTGATGTCTATATGTCTATCTTTGCATATTTATTTGTCAGTATCTCGTATATTCTATATCGATTTCTTTCTAATATCTCAGTCCCAATCTCAAATTTATTATATTTATTATTGAAAGGAACTTTATTTTGTAAGCATAACTTGATAATCAGTACAGTTAAAAATAAAACTATATATATTTATAATTAAAAATATGTCTCCTTTGCTGCCTCACAAAATAGTATATGCATATATTCCTATCTGATTAGGATCGTATACCTGAAACCACAAAGTGGCAAGAGTGTTTCCCAGCACCCATACTGAGCTGTAAATTGTGCAGACATTTACATATATTCTATTGTTGGAACTTGAATATAATAAAACAATGTATATATTTAAATATATAATTATGTATGTAGTTTCTAGAAACATCGATAATAGTATACTATGGAGCTTTTGTTAACATATAATCGGTTTCTATTTTATTGGATTATAATACCTATTCTATATTTATACTGTCTGGGGGGTTTATTTAAGGGTCCGCTCAAATTCAAAAGAACCTGTTTAGTGAGCGCTGTTTATTATTATGGATAGAAACAAAGGAATGTAAGTCTCTTCTAAACAGAATTGAGAATATTAAATTGATCATAAAATATACAAAAATTAGTAAAAAAAGGAAAAAAGAAAAACACGCATAAAATAAAATTAACAAAATAAAGTCAAAAAAGTTTCGGGTTTGTCCACAGGCTCGTTAGCTAATATATGAATATTTTACAGAGAACATAGTTCACTTAATAATATGCCTAGAGCCGGTGATGATGAATCGAAACCCGTTCGACGGAGTTCATCGGATTTCTGGTTTCATAATTATGCGATAGCTGTGACAGCTGCGATAGAATCATGAGTCAATCCCTGGGCCATCTAATGGGCCCAGAGCTGGTCCAGCTGAATGAAACTCACTGTTTGGCATTTGTAGACGCCCATAAATATATGAGCATGTGACAAGATTGACGCGTACGATTTGCATTTTTGTGTAAGTTTGCGGTCCGAAAACAAGTTGGGCCGCCATCACGCTRAGTATAATAAATATTCATGCAGTCGACAGCCGGAATCACATAATGTCTCATATTAACTAAATCTTATTAGCCGGGCTGTAAGAAAGAAAGATGCGAACAAGCAAACAAACATAATGATAGTTTCACATTCATAATGAGCATCATTCCCACATTAGGCTCTTGGCATTAAATCCTGATTTTTGCTTATCTAGATCTGCAAATCTAGAAAAGTTATGAATATCAAATGAATTGGAATGAATATCAATAGAACCAATTCTAGCAGTTTCTAGACTTTTTTAAGCAAAGAATAAATTTCCGAAACTTTTACGTCAAGCACGAGCTTATCGACTTGAACTGTTCGAATTAGCAGTCATAAAACATACTCCCAGGTCAAAATGATTTCCTTAAATCCCAAGCTGACACACCTTCAAGTCATATTCACGTTTCACTCACTTCTTAAAAAATCATAAGAAAGTAAAAGTATTACTAATTTATTGCTAATTAAACGATATAGCCTTAAGTTACATCGACTCTATAAATGTTAAGTCATATACGCAAACCAAAGCCCTCACTCTTCGCCTCTGTCATCCATTATATAACAATAAAAACGAGTTAATCTGTTAAGTTGCCAGAAACGAAATGTAAGACTATATTTTAATTGCCAATCAACCAGTTCTATATAAAAACAGAACAGGATGATTATAATGCTAATGTGGTAAGAAAACATTTATAGCACGAATGCCATTAACAAACGAGCTTGACTAGTATATACCCTGTGAATATGCAAATGTTTGACATATCAACCAATGTAAATGAATTATATACTTAATTTGACATTCATAGTTACGGCACGTACCAAATTTGATGTATTTAATTTTTGCATTTATTTTCAAAATAAGTTTTAGGCATTTTTATTATTTTTTATAATTTAGAATAA